GCCTTCAATGCTATGCATACCTGATGGGTTATCTGTTTACCACACAAAGTTGAGCCTCTCCTTCTCTCTCCTCTCCAGACCATCCTAAGCCCCAGGGGCACCACTTGTCAGCCCCAGCACAAAAAACCTGTTTGATACTTGCTCAAGTCTTTCACAAAAACTTGTGAAAGGAGAAAACTTGTGACTGGGTGAAAGGGGAGAGAATGCAGTGGAGGAAGCACCCGGTAAGCAAACATGCCTTTAAAGCTCCCCAAACCTCAGACTACTGTCATTACGGAGATCTCTCTGACATGGGGCGACTATCCAGAAACAAATCTGAACTTTCTGAAAACTCTAGATCCTGAGCAGAAACAAACAGGATTTCCAAACAATAGAGATCTAATCAAATTTTAAAAACATCTTCTATGACTTGATTGTGTCAGTCTGGAAAAACCCTACTAGTACTGGCCAACAGTGTCCAGAGATGATTCATAAGCTAGTTAGCCCAATGCCCTTTTAATGGTAGATTTAGGTCAGAACAGTCAATTTCACAGCAATAAGCAAAAGGAAAACAAGATTCCTTAGAAATAATCTCACTTCCAAGCTCAGCAACTCTACAAACTCCTTCAGGCAGTGCTTCCCAAACTTGCAAACAAGAAGTTTGGGATTCTTCCCAAACAAGAAGAATCACCCAGTGCACATGTTAAAAGTACAGATTCCTAGGACCCCGCCAGAGAGCCTAAGCAAGAATCCCCAGAGGTGTGACTCTGGATCTTTAACAAGCATCACAGATAATTCTTAGGTCCAGCAAGTACACATTGGCTTTGAGATGAGACAAACAGGTTAAAAATCCCAACTCAGCCACTTACTGGCTGTGTGGCCCTAGCCAAATTATCTACCATGTCTACGACTCACTTCTCATCTGTAAATGGGGTCGCCATCTACTTTAAAGTGTTCTTAGAGTTCCATATGTTCACAAAGCCCCTCGAACAGTGTGAAGAGCAAGTGGTAGCCAAGCAAGAAATCAGAGCTGTTGCTACCCTTAAAAAACAGCCAGCCACCAGGAGCTGCCCAGATGAACAAGTATACAATGAAAATTGTCTACCTAATGGAAATTACAAAGGCACGAAACCAGATTTCCAAGATAATATATAGCAAAAAAGCTTTTCTGGGCACTGTGGCCACCAAGAACAAAGACTCTCACTTCAGGGTCTAGTATTTTGCCCCACGTCCTCACTCCCATCCAGAACCAGAGTTCAGGCCTGTGCAGGGTTGCAGCTTCGGACAACAGCCAAAGAAAGGCGCGCCTTCCCAAATCCCTCTGTCATCATCACCTCCAGCGCCAGTGCTGACAGTCACAGACCTGAGAGTCAGTGGCCGCATCTTGCGTGAACCAGGAGGAAAGGGGACTCCTGGAGAAGAAGCAGGGAGCCAGTGAAGGGGGTAGAAAAGGCCCAAGTCAGCAACAGAATTACCGGGACACTGCTGAAGCAAAGGGAAGTGGTTCTGTGAAGTTTGCAGAACGGTGGGCATTACTGGCTGTGGGGAGGAAATGAGGAGGAACCACACACCTACTGAAGATATAGACAGTCCTGGCTTCTGATGGTTCAACTTATGATTTTTCAACTTTATAACAGTACAAAAGTGATATGCATATAAATTACATGACATATTCAACACTATTCTAAAATAGGCTTTGTATTAAATGATTTTGTCTAACTATAGGCTAATGTAAGTGTTCTGAGCGTGTTTAAGGTAGGCTAGGCTAAGCTACGATGAACAGCATGGTTAGGTGTATTAAATCCATTTTCAACTTATGATCTTTTCCATTTACCATGGGTTTATCTGGACGTAACCTCATTTTAAATCAAGGAGCATTTGTATATATTTACTGTGTACACACACCACTGCCCTTGGCACGCTGGAGGAATCAGATGCATACTGGAGATGGATACACACTGAAGGGTTTGGACGGAAAAGGGGCCAAACGTTAAACACGACAAGCTCAGGAGCCTGAAAATAACAACACAGGATGGCGTGAACATAAAAATTCCAAACTAAGGTGGCCATGGCGGGAAGTCACATGTAGCTTGTGGCTTCCTTGACAAAGGTCAATCTTTACCTTAAGTGAGCCTATCTATTGTCTTTTTTTTTTTTTTAAGATTTTAATGGGGAAGAAGGGGAGGGAACAGCGCTGGGGAATCGGGGAAGGGAAACAGAGTAGTTGCTGTCCTTTTGTTCTTCAGTCTAGTTGTGGAGGACGTCGCTTCACTGGCCCATGTTGGTATTATCATTGCGCTTTTCCTGGGTGAGGCACTCGCTCGCCGGCCATTGGACGGCGGCTCACGGCAGCCCACCTCAGCCCCACTGCAGCCTACGCCATCGCTGGCAACTCACAGCAGCCCAGCTCCAGGTCGAGCTGTTGTTCAGCATCTTAGCTGTAGAGAGCGCAGCATCACTGGCCACATGTGGGAACTGAACCAGGGCCCTGCTGCTCAGAGCTGGTGTCCCAAGCCAACTCCTAACCAATGCGCCACTCGGCTTGCCCTGTCTATTGTCTTTTTGCTTCTAGGATAACATGCCCTTGGAATGTCAGTAATCCCTTTTTCTGGACCAGAGCAGGGAACTACAGAATCCCTCATTATTATTCTTGTCCCTTGATTACCATCTCTATGTGCTGTAAAAAGAGAACTATTAACTATCCTGTTACCCACCTATGTAAAGGAAGTACTGTACCTGTCGCTCCAATTTACTTTTATCCAATCCCAGAGATTTCCCCGCTTTCCTTTCTCCCACCCCTTTATCTACCACCAATGGATTTTATATAACCCTCCTCCTTTTATTCTACGTATAAAATAAACTGCAAACCACCATTTCATGGAGCATTTTCTCAACCCATTGAGATTTTGCTTCCCAGCAATTGTTGTCAGCTTGGCTCAAATAAACTTTTATAAGCTTTCTCTTAGGCTGGATGTTTTTTCGTTGAGGGGACCAAAGTTTTGCCTTTTGGCATATCGATTTTAAGCTGGTTAAGAAACAAAAGACTCAGAAAGACCCTTTGACCCTCCCCTCTTCCTGCCTAAGAGGTTCAGATGGAAAAACCTTCCATCTTCAGGAAGGGAACCTTAGCATTAGACAGGAAGACTCCCAGCATGAGCTTCTTGACTAAATTCCTCTCCCAAATTGTTTTCTGGGTTGCCTAGCAAAAATTTACCTGCAAAGTGGGTTCCATTATTCCTCACTTACCTGCAAATTGCCCATTCTCACTTTTAAAATCTAAGATCCCAACCCCCCTTCTCCTTTGAAAATAACATATATATATATATGTTATTATATACACGGTATATATACCCAATTTAACCTCATATCATATATGACATATCCAATTTTACCTCAAATATATCATGTGATATTCGTTATATATCATATATATCATATATACACACATACATATATACACGAGGGGTGATAAAAAGATACGGTGAATGTTTAAATTTAAAATTTTACTACAGAAGACACATTGCCATTAATCCCCCTCAAAGTACTCCCCCTCGCTTCAAACACACTCATCCCATCATTCTTGCCACTTTCTGAAGCAGTTCTGGAAGTCCTCTTTTATGAGTGTCTTTAGCTCTGTTGTCATGGCTGCCTCGATGTCCTGAATGGATTCAAAGCGTTTACCATTCATGGTCATTTTGACTTTAGGGAAGAGCCAGAAGTCACACGGTGCCAGATCTGGTGAATAAGGTGGATGAGGACACACCGTAATGTTTTTATTTGACAGAAATGGCCATACCAGAAGCGATGTGTGACAGGGAGCATTGTCATGATGGAGGATGAAATCGATTGCCCGTTTCATGTTAATTTGTTGTTTGTGATCCATGATTTACGGCACACTTTAAAACACACCTTATCTCAACAGCAGCTCACACCCTACTAACTGCACTGGAACAAGTTGAAACTTATCACACAGTCACTAAGGTTCAATGTGCCACTTCCCATATTGAAGATCCCTGCCTGTTGGATGGCACTCGGCAGCAGCATTCACCGTATTTTGTGATCACACCTCTGGGGACATATACAGAGAGCCCAAACAAATGTATACACATTTTCAGAACGGAAAAAACTGTATTAAAATTGTAATACTCAATATATACCGATATCAAAAGATGAATACAAGTCATGTGTATACATGTTTTTGGCAACTCTGTTATGGCTCCAATTTTACCTCACTGTCTTTGGAATTTTCATGCTTATGGGAATTCCCCATTTGCACATATTAAAATTTGAATTTCTCCTGTTAATCTCTCTCTGTTAATTTGATTATTAGTCCAGCTAGAACGTAGGTGAGGGAAAAATTACTATTTTTTTAGCCTCCACCAAACACAAACACACACACACACACACACACACACACACACACACACACACACCAATGCCCTTTGTACCCAGCAGGTCCAGGGGTAGGGACTGGTCAGTGATGCCGGGAGGTCCAAGTCTGGGTCCAGAAGAAAGGGTAAGAACAGAGCCAAGGCTGACAGCCTCATCCTCTCACTGCCCTGGGGAAAGGGCGCAGACCAGGGAGTCAAACACCAGCGTCCTCCCACCCCCACCCCACTCCACCAACAGCCTCCCTTGTGTCCTCTGGCAAGTGTGACCCCTACTCTTAGGCCCGTTTCCCCATTTGTACAATGGGCAAACTGGCTCTCACGTCACTAGAATTGTGACCAGCAAAATGCTCAAATATGGGATGGAGAATGAGGGGTGGCGGTGAGGGGTGCCCCGGGGGCGGGCCTGGAGGCGCGACCTGCGGAGGTAGCCCCGGCCGCGCCTCGCGCCCTCCCCTCATTCCCTCCCTCCCATTGCGAGGGGCAGGGGCGCCGGCCCTCGGCGGCAGTCACGCGCCCCTCGCGCCCAATCACCGGCCTCTACCAGAGTGAGGCAGGCAGGAGGGGGCGCGCAGGCGGCCACTGCAGCGCCACCCCCATCGCCATCCTCGCCCCTCCCCGGGCCCCGCTCACCTGCCGGGGCCGCCGCCGCTGCCGCTGACACAGCCGCCGCGGGTTAAACCACAGCCCACGCTCACACTTCCGGGGACCGCGAGGCCCGCCCACTCCTGCCGGATGTGACTCCCCTCTAACGTCCGCGTCTGGAGATGCGGCTCACGCCACTGGTCCCGCTACCACGTTTGGCGCCCCGTGGGCCTCTGAGTTGCGACACCGGTCACCCCCCCTACACCTGACACACTCGCGGCCACCCCCACGGGAAAGCCCAAGAGACCCCGCCCGCGCGGCCAGCTCCCGGCCCCGCCCCCAGGAGGGACACCGCCCAGGGAGGCCAGACCGGGACGCCTTGGGCGAGTGCGCCTGCGCAGGCTTCCCGCGGCTTCTTGGGTGGGCGAGGGGCTGCTCATCAGGCGGGGCTCGGCTAGTAGGCGGCTCCTCAAAGCGGCCGTAAAAGGAGCCAGAGAGGAAACGAATGGAATCCCGACACGTAGGGGACGCCACAGATGGGCTGAGCTCAGATTGCGGCAACCCCACGCCAACCAGATGCTCTCTTGCGTGACACCGTTTGGCCCCAGGACTGGAGTGACAGCCGACCTAAGGGTCCCCTGGCAAAGAGCAGTGCCTATCGGTCTGAAACTGACTAGCAGGCTCCTTAAAACAACTCTGAGTAGTTTCCCCAAAAGTAACCTGTTTTCCAAGGCCCTAGATTACCCTTTTAGTCCATTCTGTGTGGGTAGTGCTTTGAAAATTACAGACGTCCTTATATATCGTCACTTGTCCAGAATCACGAGTGAGGCTGATGATGGTGAAGCAGGGCCCTGATGCTCGCACGCTGTTCTCCTGACGCTGGTATTGGACAACCGGGCCTGCAGGTGAATCGCATTCCCTCTTTCGCCTCTTAGCAGTGTCCGTAATTGCAGCTTTGTAAAAATGGGTACCCCGGGTGGAGAGCTTTTTAGACCAAGGAAACCTTGCCACCCCAAATTCAAAACCTTAGATGCTGAATTAAGACCATTGTTGGGCCGGCCCAGTGGCGCGATGGTTAAGAACTGGCTTGGGACGCCAGAGGGCCCCGGTTCGGATCCCACATATGAGGGCCAGTGACACTGCCCTCCACAGCTAAGATGCTGAACAACAGCTCAACCTGGAGCTGGGCTGCCGTGAGTTGCCGGCGACGGCGACGGCGGCGTAGGCTGCAGCCCCTGTGGCAGTGGGTTGCCATGGGCTACCGTATGCAGCCAGCGTGAGCGGCCGTCCAGAAGCCGGTGACTGATCTGCCTTGCCCGGGAAGAGCGCAATGATGGTGCCAACTTGGGCCAGTGAAGCAACGTCCTCCACAACTAGACTGAAGAACAAAACGACAGCAACTTGTCTGTTCCCCCTCACCCAATTCCCCAGCACTGTTCCCATCCCCTCAATTCCCCAATAAAAATCTTTAAATAAATAAATAAATAAATAAATAAATAAATAAAACCATTGTTGCTAGTGACAGAAACCCAACGCAAACCAGCTTCTGCAAAATGGGAATTTGGGGATCACATAACAATAAAGCCCAGTCGGTATTCTCATTTAGAAGGATGGGCAGTGGCCTCCATCCTCATTTGACTCTTCTTCCTCTTTTGTGTTATTACTCCTTCCTTTCTGCAGATAGTTGCAAGCTATCTATTTCAAATACTTGAGAGAACGTATCTGATTGGCTAAGATAATCACCATTGCCCCTATTGGACAGAGCTTTCCCTTTCTTGCCACCTCATAGGCCATTAGGTAGCCTATGGATTAACGATCCTTGGGTCAGGTGATCACCCTTATCCAATCAGTGGTCACCCCTTAAAGCACAGAAGAGATCAGCGAAGAAAGCCGTCTATCCCAGCTACTGAGCCTTCTGAGACACCAGTGACTCATTTGAGGGATGCCATAGTTGGTTTTGCAGACATTTCACATTGAGCGTAATGTCAGAGTGTCTCCCATTTACAGCAGCTGCCAGAGAGCTGGGTTGAAACTGCTTCTTTGGGGTAGGGAGGCCCAAGGCAGATGACCTTAACTTTTTTTCCTAAGCCCTTTTGTGTTATATAATTTTTATCCTGTACATGTATTACTTTGGCGTATTAGAAAGTATTATTGATAGATTAGCATGAGTTTATAGTCAACAAGCCTTTCACTCACTGGTACTGTGTTGGAATATGGAATGTGGACATGATGGCTGGACCTAGAGTAGTCATCTTGAACCCTGAGGTGACCATGGAAACAGAGGCTATAATCTGTTAGCACAACAAAGTGAGAAGGAGCCTGAGTCCTGATACCAGGGAGCACCATGACTACTGGATGCCAACCACTGGACTTTTACAGGAGAGGGAAATAAACTACTTTGTAAGCCACTGTTGTTTTGTATTTGCTGTCACTCACACCCTTTAGGTCTTAAACTATACTTCTGAAATCCCCCTTTTGCATCCCCAAGACTAGGTGAGTCCCCACCCTCTGTATGTTCTTCAAACACCCCACGTATTTTCTTTTCATAGCATTTACTATAATCATTCAATCCCCCAGATAGTGACTTCTGTAAGGACCGACAGAGACTATTTTATACATCATTTTACATAGATGCTAGAACAATGACAATGACAATAGTAACTTTAAATGTGACTTGTGTTTAGTAGTAGTCTGAATAGTAACTTGTGTCTACAATGAGTCTACTGAGAGTGTTGAGGGGAAATGACAAACTGCTACATACTCTGCATCAAATGGGTCATTGCCAAGATCACCTTGATGGCAGGGGGATGGGGGGGGGGCAGCTGGCTCTTCTAAATAACCAAAGGTAGAGAATTTAGAGCAAAGGAGGGAGGGCGAGAAATTGGCAGGAAATTCGAGTCATCTGAGGCACGTGACATTGGAAAAGTGTGCTCTTCCTGCTGTTTTCCACTTCCGGCTTTTCTCAGCTTCCCCTGGCTCTAGCCCCACCCTCCTTAGTCCTGGTCTCCTATCACTTGCACCTATGTTACCATTTACCAGGCCTCGATTACACACAATTTTTATTTCTATTCAGAGTGGCTCTTATATGTAGAGAGACAGACAGACAGATGGAGAGACATTCATTCCACATGTTCTCTGAATACCTGTACTGCTAAGACCTGTGGCTACAAAAATGAACAAACGCCATCTCTAGTCTCAAGAAAGTCACATTCTTGGTTGAGTGAGAGAAAACAGGAGATCTTCCTATCCTAAGGTATCCCAAGGTATCTCAGTCCTTCGGATGAACTTGATCAGGAGCAAAATATATTAAAGTAGAAATATTCAGTGTGCTTCCTCCCTACCCTTTCTACAAAGTTGTGTTTGTTTAGCTCCTCAGCACTGGATCTTGTGATTCTGGTTGACTAGATGGAGAAGTGATGTAAGCAGAAGTAAAGAAGGCGAGACAGGGAGGTCAGAGCTTGAGGTAACAGACGAGATGTTTGACAAGCTGAGACAGTGAGGAAGATTTGGGAACTGGGTTAGAAAAGTATTTTTTAAAGGAAGTCTAGCCATGTGGTATGTATAATCCTCAATTTGGTCTTCAAGAGCTCTCCATTGAAGACTCTGTGTGTGTGTGTGTGTGTGTGTGTGTGTGTGTGTGTGTGTGTGTGTGTGTGTGTGTTTCCTGGAGTTGGAAGTTAGATTGTCTGGCTGATTTCTCAATTCTATTCCTTCCTTCTGGCTCCCACACTGCAGTTCAGCCAGAAAAGAATTGTGTTTTTGAGGCAGTGGCTGGTAGCTACCTACAAAATTATCCATTCTCTGGTTTTCCTTAAAAGCAGAATGTATTTTATTATATAGCAATGTGCCCAGTAGCTCTACGACTGCATTTCTCAACCTTCTTTGCTGTTATGACTGAGTGACTCTGTGATGTAAGCAGAAATATTGAGAGGGATTTCTTGGAAGGCTGCTTTAAAGGAGCTGATCCAGCTGGAAGGTGGGTCTTTTCACCTCCCCCTCCTTAATTTCTGTCTAAATTTCAGATGTGATGGCTGGAACTCCTGCAGTTGTATTGGACCACAAGGTGACCTTGGAAATTGAAACCATTCAAGCACTGGCTGGCCTACCTCCAGATTTGTTTTAAGTGAGAGAAAAAAAATCAAGTTCTAGCTTAAATTATGGTTCTTTTAGGCTTTTCATAATGTGCACACAAACTTAAACCTGATACTATTATGTGGTTAATATATTATAGCATTATTATTATTATTATTATTATTATTATTATTTTGTTGTGTTTGGTAAATAAATATATATTTTATGAATTTCTTTCCATTATTATTTTATTCAATTTATGCATAACCCACACACATGCAAGCACATATTCTTGTATCAATGCAAAATTGTGATTGTAAACATGCTTTCTTAGAGTTTTTGGATTTTTTTTCTTCCTTTTTTTTTTTTTTTAGCTTGGTTCCCCCATTTATTAACAGTCTTCTATCCACTGGCCAAGATAGGCTGAGGGGCAGGGCAGGAAGGACCAAAGAAGAATAAAGTATAGGCATATGAATAAAGGGTGGTGGCCATGTTGCTTGTCATAAATATTCTGGCGCAGAATCACACTTGCCCACCCCGTTACAGTCTCCCCCCACCTGGTTTGCCAAGAAAATGGATACTGTGGCACATGGCGCATGAGCAGACTTGGTGTGTCACTTCCAGGTGGAAGTCTTTAAGCACCAAAGTCTAGTTTGCCACACATCCCCTTCCCCTGCATCAAGAGGGAGCACCTATCAGCTTTTCTCCCTCAGTGACTGTGATGAGCAGGGTTCCCTGCCAACCTGTGTTGGGTGTGAGTGAGAAATAAACCTTAGCTGTATCAAACTACTGAGATGTGGGATTGCATGACTTCATAGTGTAACTCAGCATATCTGCACTGAAATAGGAGAATGTAACAGGGACTGCTAATTGTCTCCTTCCTTCAGTAATCAAACCCCTCGTCTAGCACTACCCAGCTAAAAAGTACATTTCCTAGCTTCTTTTTCACTTAAAAGTGCCCTTGTGATTTCCTTATAGCCAGTGAGGTATCAGTGGAAGAATTATTTACAATTTCTGGTTATTCCCTTTAAGGAGAGGGTCATATCCTGCCTCCCCTTCTCTAGTTGCTGCTAGTTGGAATGCAAATGTAATGACAGGTGCTACAGCAGCCACATTAGACCAAGAGATGAATGCCCCATGTTGAAGATGGCAAAGCACCAAGAAAGAATTTGGGTCCCCATCACTGTGGAGCCACCTGGACTGTTACATGAGAGAGAAATAAAATTATATTTTAGTTA